TTTTTTTTTTTTTTTTTTTTTCTCTTTTTATCATCTCTTGGTCCGTGAATGAGTTTTTTCGCGCGATTGGCATGTACGAGTCTTATAAAACCCATTGCCAATATCATCCGATCTATATATAATCGTATAAGTGTATTACGCAGCTAACGTTTACTCATTTTTAGAGTTATACTACTATTTTATTTTTTATATTACGCTATCTATCGTAGATGCCTCTTTCCGTCCTTTGCACAAGAAAGAAATAAATTATTTCGTGCGAGTTATCTATTGCGCTCGTGTTCAGAACGGAACGAAATATGTATGTATATTCCCCTTTGAACACGTGTGGATAATTTACAATATAGCAAAAAACAAGATAGCTACCAAGTGTTCGATGTAATGTTATGTATATACACTTTTATGCGCATGTGCACGTTCGTCGGATTTTTTCTGACTATTTCTTAGACACGATCTAACCTCTAAATCGCGAAATTAGATCGATGTCAGGCTTATTGAATATATAAATGGGGCTTCATTGTTGGCACTTAAGAGATTGCATCATATGCAAAATGTATTGTTCATTGATGGACGAAATGATTGTTCGATTATTCGCGAGTCGAATGATGAAGAAAATCTTTTAGCGAAAAATTTGAGTGAAATATGAAGTGATTCGTATAAAGTAAAGCAAGCAATGGATTAATGTTTCTCGTTGGTTATTATATTAATTATCTGTTATGTTATGTAAATGTATATAATAAAATTTTTTAGAGCACTTGTCATTGGCAAATACGATATCGAACGTTTGAGCATGCATAGTGAATTATGACTACTTGTGTATGCAAAATTTTACAAGAGCCACTTTAGTTTCTTTATATAGATTAAAAAGAAAAAATTCCATGTAAAATATCTTAAAAAATAATTCTCTATATTACTTTACACGAACCACTCTACGCAATTTGTATAAAATAAAAAGCAAGAAAAAATCTTACGAAAGTATAAATCTACGAAAGGACATTTTGATACGCTTTTCTTCAAATATATATCTTTCTCAAAATGTTCGAAATACGTAGTAATACGTTTCATAATCATAAACGTCGAAACTTGGTCGAAAAAAGATACACTATTGATCGACTACAAACTACGCAGCAAAATTTTGTCACAACTATATTCTAACGTAATACTACGTTTTCGTAAGCTAGTAATTTATCGTAATTTATTTGACATTACACAATACACTATCGATAATCCTCGTTATCAATCAATATCGAATCTTTTAATATCTTTTTCTCTTTTCCGATATATTATATGTATACTTTTTCCCAAACACATAACCAAATAGATCAATCTTCTATCGAACTCACTTTTCATTTTAGTCGAACACACTTTTCGAAAACCCAATGCTATTACGAAACATCAAAGCCAACACGAATAACCCCTTTAATCGATTCTATATCGATCCGACAACACTTCTCGATTCTTTCCGCCATTTTCTCGAATTTATCGACACACATCGAGGAAGCATGCTCTACTTTGAATTTCTACAAACCTACATAGCTGCACTATAATTCGCAAATACGAACTCACGAAGTATGGATTATATACGACGAATCATATTTCAAAATGACTGTATCATGTCGTTCACGGATTTCGTCTTTGCCGCAATATTTTAACACTTAATTTTATATATATACGTATGAATAACGCTATCTATAATTTTAAATGTGATAAATACAAAGTGTGCGTATATGTACTTGGTAATGATGGTGTGTGTTATTTGGCAGTTTCTCATGTTCCACTCCTAATATCTCTCACTCCTATATCACTTTCGAAATGGATTCTTCATTCCATCTTCCCCCTTTCCACGTTAATATCGAGATTAATATCGAGATTAATATCGCCTTCTTTATATACAATGCAATCTTTGGTTTCACTACGAAATCTACGCGTTGTGTACACTGTCCAGGACGCCATTGTTCAACTGACATCTTGACGAGTTCTTGAGCTCGCGCACGTTATTTTCCCATTTTTCGAAACTCCGGTTCGTGATTGGCGAACACATGCTCTCATTTATTTTTATGATTGGACAACTACATACAAGGTCTTTTAGGCCTGCTTCATAACAGAGTTACCCAAAAAAAAAAAAAAAAAAAAAAAATACTATGTTTAATTAGTAATAATATTCTATTATGACACATTTTGTCAATTCAGAATAAATTCTAATATTTAAACCCGATCAGCTACACTATAGAATTATTTTAATTCGTTCTTTAATATCGTCACGTTAGAAATCAACTTATATTAAAGACAAAATCTTTTTCTAAGATTCTCATCGAATACTTAAATATACAATAGATAAATATTTGGTACTGTTTTATAGTATAATATTCGTTTTCTAATCGCGAGGTTCGTCAAATTAGCGTATGATAAATACACATTAATTCAAAACTTTTCTGATCCTTTCTTTCTTTTTTCGTTTTTTTTTTATTTTCAATAAAAATAATAATCAATACGTGCAATTTTTGTGTACATGCATACGTATATGTCTTTGTACACATAATATATATAAATGCCGAACATGTGAAAAATATAAAACGAAATAAGGACCATCAGTCTTGGGAGATAAAGATATCGAAAAAACAGTAACGAATCGAACGAAAGATGATGATATGGAAAAACAAATCGATCGTGGTATTAAGCCATCCACAGTTCAAAGAAAAAAATGATTCAGCCTCTAAATCTCATCAGTCAATTCATTATTTTTTTTTTTTAATTGATTGCATGCGATCAAAATTGAGCATTCGCAAATTCAACTCACCTGTATGTTCTTTTATGGGAATGTTCGTATATATATGTGCCATTTTAAATGCAATATTAAATTATAAATGTATATGCAATGGGAAACTTGAATCTTCCGAAAAAAATCGTTAATTTTTTTTATCTTTTTTAAATTATTTTAAAATTATTTTAGGCAAGACGTCGATGTGATATTAGTCTCACTTTTTCTTACTGACGAAACATCGAATGTAATTTCATAAAGAGTCATTTTCATCAAATAATAATACTGTTCACAATAATCACGGTTCGCCCAACGAGATATAGTGAAACGGGAATTTTCAAACTTCGTTGTTTTTCTATTTTATTATTGTTAATATCTTTTCTTTTTCATTTTCTCGTTGCACAAACATGAATATAATATGTAAAGAATGAGCACATAATTGTCTTTTAAATGAGTTTTGTCGATTTATTAATGCCCTCGATGTAGAAAATCACAGTGTCACCGTTTCATAGTTAATCAAGAATTTGGCAAAAAGATTGGATTTGTCTTTCACTTACCTGAGTCGTTATCAAATCTCGTACCATTCATTTCGAAATGAAATAACCAGTCAAACTGTCACAACTCTGTTTAGAATAATACTACAAAATTTCAAGAGATAAAAACCACAAATGCTTGCGCGATCCCCTATTTCGCGTGTATCATTCAATTCAACTTCTCATCCAAACATTAAAGTCTCAACTAGATTTTATAATACTTTATAAAAAATTCGACTGATGTTCTGATATAAGGATCAATTTGCACGATTGGATATATACTTCTTTTAACCTCACAATTATGAATTTCCAAACTTTTCCCTGAAGAACAATTGTTTCACAATATTTTCAACATTGCACCAATATTTCAAATAGTACACTTGTCAAACAAGCACTTGTCAGATTTCCTTCAAATATTCATATCAATATCATAACCTCTAAAAGTTCACAAAGGAAAAGCGAGAGTCTTGCCTATTCGCGAGAGTTTGTCAACGATCAAAGTAAAGATCGTCAAGCGTTTTCGAAACCTAACTTCTCAAACAAACGATAATGAAGATCCAAAAAACAATGGATCACAGATTTTTTACAATTCTTCAGACAGAGCGATGGGTGCTCTAGAGCCGGGTTTCATATCCTTCACACCGATTCCGATATCATCAACTGGTGCTGGAGCCAACTTCAATTGGTTGCCGTTCACTTTAATATCATTCACGGAATGGGACCTACCATGCGTAATAAGCGGTTTCGCTGTCTGATTAGTGCTTGTATTCGAATTTGAGCTGCTCACAGAATTCGTACTAGGACTAGTCGCGGAGTTCGAACTCGAACTACAGTTCACAGTACCGCTTGAGAGGGAACTCGAGTTAGAATTTGCATCTTGCGTTTGATTGGTCGCTGTGGATTGCATTACAGGATTAGGAATGGACGATTTGGAACGAGGTTTCGGCTTTGGATTCATCGAGTTCACGATAGGAATAGGGATTGCAGATTGATCAAGTGTTTCACGAGCAGTATCGAGCGCGGAATCTGGCGAAATTGGTATCTTAGTGGATACAACTGATTTTGAAAAAGTTGCGAGTTGATTAGCCGATTGCGATCGCACTGTATGGCTGCCAAGTTTGTCCCGCAGCGCCATCTGATAAGCTACTTCAAACGCCTGGCCTAAGGTTAGGATCACCTCCGTTGCTTGGTCCTGAAACAAAAATGTCTCACTTCGTAGATTTATTGTGAAAATAATTAAAATTTAGATGAAATTGACAATGATACATTTTGGTTATTAATAAAGAAAAAGTGTAAATAGTTGAATTACTAATAATATTAATAGATTTAACGTATTCATTATTGAAATTATTATGAAGCTATTTCTAATTGTGTTGATAAAATTGAAACGTCAAGAA